CGCATCGGGAGCAGCGGGTTAGTTGGCCATCTCTTGCCCCGGCTTAGTCATCCCGCCTGGGTTTGGTTTTTTTCCTTTCCTGTTGCGTCCGGGGCATGGTTGGAGAAAGCGGAGTTGTGTAAAAGCAGTGTTTCTCAACCTTGGCAACTTGAAGATGTCTGGACTTGAAGTCCCAGAATTCCCCAGCCAGCATTCGCTGGCTGGGGAATTCTGGGACTTGAAGTCCAGACATCTTCAAGTTGCCAAGGTTGAGAAACACTGCTTTTACACAACTCCGCTTTCTCCAACCATGCCCCGGACGCAACAGGAAAGGAAAAAAACCAAACCCAGGCGGGATGACTAAGCCGGGGCAAGAGATGGCCAACTAACCCGCTGCTCCCGATGCGTTTCCCTCCACCTCGCCTACCCGTCCAGCCCGTTTTCTAACACCCGGGGTGGGTGGGGACGCCTAGCTTCCAACTCGCCAAAGCAGGCAAATATCGAAAGGGGGGTGCGGAGGGAAGGCAGCGAAAGGGGGCAAAGCCAGGGCCGAGGGGGGGGAAACGGAGCCAGAAATGCTTTGGTAACCTTGGCTTCCACCAGCCTCCCATCTGCGCGCCCGTTCCAGGAAAGCCAGGCTCAACCTTGGAAGAGAGCGCGGCGCTGGCCAAGGTGAGCGCCGACGGTCCCGTCCAAGAGACTGATGCACGCCCGCCCCCAGCCCGCCAACCTCCCCGGCAGAAGTTTGCAAGGGGTCCCGGGTTACCTGTTCGGGCCCGGGGGCTTCGCTCTCTCCCTGCTCCTTGCCCTCCGTGTCGTCTTCTTCGTTCAGCCCGTCTCCTCCTCCTCCTCCTCCTTCCTCCTTCTTTTCCTCCCCTTTCTCCTTCTTCTCCTCCACCACCACCACCTGCTCCTCCTCCGCCTCCTCTTCCTCGGCAGCCCCTTCGCGCTTCTCGGCGGCGGTGGCGGCGGCTTCTGGCCGGCCGCCTGCCGCAGGGAGCGGTTCCTCTAGCGGCGGCTGCTGCTGCCGGTCAGCCGCTGGGTCGTCGCCGTCGTCTTTGCTGCTGCCACCGCCCGCTTGCTCCAACGGTGGCCCTTCTCCCCCGCCGGGGTCCTGCAGCTCGGGCTCGGGCTCGGAATCCGTCTCCCAGGTCGAGTCACAGTCCTCCACCGTGGTGGGCTCCTTGAAGCTGACGCCGCTCAGCAAACTGNAAATCCTGTGCGTGTCACCCCAAATGGCTACGCGTGTCAGCACTGACACATGTGTCATAGGTTCGCCATCACTGCTTTAAATGATCAAAATAACTATTTATGTTTAAGGAAGAACCTGCAAACTGCATATCCAGAATCAGGGCTGATGTTTTCTGATGTTTAGTAGCATTCATATAAACTTCAGCTGGGGTTTGGTTCGGAGCTGCAGATTAGGGAATAATAAGCACCCTTACAGTGCAATCCTGCATACGGTATATATCTATTCAGAAATCAGTCACATTGTTTTCAAGAAGGCTTACTCCCACGTAAGTGCACACAGCCTGGCATCCATTCTGTTTTAGTGGCTCTTCTTTTCATTAGTCATACTTCTATTCTTAACCACATTGTATTAGATAAAGCACTTTAATCATTATCCATCATTTTGAAAGATTGGAGCCTCCTAGAGTACCCCGAATAAAGCTGAGTGCGAAATTTGCATCTCTGCATCTCAACAATATTCATCTAATCAGGAACTTTACCAACTACATAAGAAGATACTCAGGCAAACTAATAACAATGGCATTGTTACTTTATTGTATACTGCATTGCACTTCATTCTTACTATTTCTGTAATTGTTTTATTATGCTTCCTTTATAATTAACACTAATTATTTTTCTTATTATCTAGAGTTGGGCAACACTGAATTAAAATAACTAATGATCTATCTGTCTATCTCAAACACCTTGGAATGAATGCTTTTATGCATGTGTTTTAGACACTTTCTTGGGGATGCATCTTTTTAGGAATATATAGCTTTTGATAAAGACATAGGTAATACCAATCGTTAGCTATAAACTGTATTTTATTTTCTCTGGGCAATGGTTATTTTCAGTGGTCAGGTTTCTACTAGCATACAAACTAGTATGCAGTAAATGAAATAAATGACTGAGGTTTACAACAATATGATTCTAGGACCATTAATATTACACAAATGGATTTAAAATGATTACTGAAATACAAGCATGTGCCAGGAGAGAGGTAACAAATTTATAATGCTAGACTAAGTTTTGCCTGAATAATCCCAAAGTCCTTGAGCCTAATGCAAATTCCAGAAATTCCAGAGATTATTTGCTATAGTCAACTCAAGTCAAATGCAAGTTGAGTTCAAATCTTGGAAGACTTTGTCGACTCATCTAGGACGTTTTCTCAATAGCAACTCTGTACGTCGATATACATGTATATCCTGCCTTTCTACCTATGACCAAAAGGTGAACTATTTAAAGCATCTATAATGTTAAAAAAAAGAGGACGCAGTAACTTAAATACACTGATGAGAGCTAGGAAAAGTAGTTGCAAAGGAAACCATAATTCAGTGCAGAAGTTATATTTTCAAAATTACATTTTCTTACACCTGAAATTCAAATTTAGAAACTACATTATAGTTTGAAAACTGTGTATTATAATTTTCAAGTTTAATAAAAACAAAAAACAAAGTAGATGCATAGAGAAGAGACAACTGCTGGAAAGTAATTATTAAATAAAAACAGTGAAGAGTTTACAGTATAGCCTTTATAAAATGTTTTCTTTCCATATTTTAAGAGAAAATGGTACTCTGAATTTTATCAACACACAAAATAATACGGATTTATTACTATATATTTTGCCCTTTTCTAAATTTCAGAAATGTTTACATACGTATATATCTCTATTTAAAGACATCATTTATGTGTATGGCCATTAAATTTAGGCTATCTGTTGGGATATATATATAGGATTGCACTGGAAAACACATTGGAATGATTTCAGAAAACAAATCCAGGCATATGTTAATGTGCAAACAGAAAACACACACACACACACACACATACATCTTGAATGTTGTGTGTGTGTGTGTGTGTGTGTGAGAGAGAGAGAGAGAGAGAGAGAGAGAGAGAGAGAGAGAGAGAGAATGAATGAATGAATGAATGAATGAATGAATGAATGAATGAATGAATG